CTTGTTGACTTCTATGAGCTCTCTAAGTACACTTATATTAGGTCAGAGAGTATGGAGAGAGCCTATATACATAGTCTGGTACAGTATATGTGTAATTAGCACCCTTCTCTGTATGAATTATGCAATACTATATATTACCAAGGTCTGCCTATGGTATAAGTACTAGTGACAACTCTGCTTCGTTGTTGAAGATCTAGAAATACCATGTAGTCCGGTCATAGCTTGTATACACTCGGCATGGAATTGTAGGAGTGGTGGTGTTTCAGGATTGATGTGACTCTCTAACACGCATCCCGAGTCGGAAGGTAACAAGGTACATTGGTGAAGTACCCTGTGCCTCAAAGGCTCCAACAAGAATTCCAGTGGAGGAAAGTGCTATTTGAAGCAATGTATTGCACTTTATAGTAGGTTGGATAGCTAACGACAGTGGACTATATGTTGGTATCAGAAACTGGCCAGTGAATTAAGTACATGTCCTAGGCTACTACTAAATCTGAGTGTGACCAGTCTCATCTCCTGGCAACTTGTATCATTATCATCAATGTAGAGAAACATTGAACATGTCACCATTGAAGCTGCTACTTAGTTGAAGCTTCAATACGGCTTGAATGAACAATGCTTCTACCGTTGCCGAGCAGGACCAGGTCGACTTTGAGCGTCGCGAGTTCGGATTGTGGCGTTGGGGTCTCTGTGGCGTGGATCTGTGACCTGTAGTCACATTTCCAGTAGCTAGACGTCTACCATATATAGTGTGACCACCGCCATACTCGGGTGGTACTGAAGTTAACTTCGGAAGCATTGTTCATTCAAGCCATATTGAAGCTTCAACTAAGTAGCAGCTTCAATGGTGACATGTTCAATGTTTCTCTACATTGATGATACAAGTTGCCAGGAGATGAGACTGGTCACACTCAGATTTAGTAGTAGCCTAGGACATGTACTTAATTCACTGGCTGGCTTCTGATACCAACATATAGTCCACTGTTGTTAGCTATTCAACCTACTATAAAGTGCAATACATTGCTTCAAATAGCACTTTCCTCCACTGGAATTCTTGTTGGAGCCTTTGAGGCACAGGGTACTTCACCAATGTACCTTGTTACCTTCCGAGTCGGGAGGCGTGTTAGAGAGTCACATCAATCCTGAAACACCACCACTCCTACAATTCCATGCCGAGTGTATACAAACTATGAACCGGACTACATGGTATCGCTAGATCTTCAACAATGAAGCAGAGTTGTCACTTATACCATAGGCAGACCTTGGTAATATATAGTATTGCATAATTCATACAGAGAAGGCTGCTAATTACACATATACTGTACCAGACTATGTATATAGGCTCTCTCCATACTCTCAGACCTAATAGAAGTGAACTTAGAGAGCACATAGAAGTCAACAAGCATTAGCACAGGAGGAACTCGATATTTAGAGGTGGATGTCACTCTTTTCCATCACGCGGTGCCAGGACCCCGATCGCAAGCCCGCATTGCTGTGCTCGATTTCCTAAAGTCGACCTGGTCCTGCTCGGCAACGGTATGCTTCCTGCTTGGGCCTCGAAGTTGCCTTCAGTACCACCCAAGTATGGCGGTAGTCACACTATATATGGTAGACGTCTAGCTACTGGAAATGTGACTACAGGTCACAGATCCACGCCACAGAGACCCCAACGCCACAATCCGAACTCGCGACGCTCAAAGTCGACCTGGTCCTGCTCGGCAACGGTACTGCGTGACAATGGCCGGGGCTCTGGTTCTCACCGATACCCTTGATGAAAGAAGGCGGCGTCTCTTTTCGCCATACTCGCGAGTGAGTGATTCCTGAACCCCGATCACGTTGAGTACCTGTCTTCGACATCTTCTCGTGTTCTCGATCGTGGTGCGGTTCCGACGAGGTATGGAACTGCTAACTCCGCTTGCGCTTCTCGCCGTCAGCGTCTGGCAAGACGCAGTAAATACTCGTCTTTTGACGTGCTTGTCCATGTGGCCGAGGGCCCGAGGGCCTGCTTTGGCTCTGATCCGAAGGGCTTCCTGCTAACGCTTCATCTAGTAGTTTGCTTTCCAAGTATCATCAGGCAATTTCCAGTCTGAGGGACCGACAGGCAAAGGCTATCGAGCATCGGGATGGCGATGCATCACACTCAGGGCTGGGCCTTAGTGGCGACAAAGCTTCCTGGGTATCGAATGATCAGAAGAACGTCACTGCCTTGGAAGAACCTTGATCACTCGGAGGCAGGAATCGCCGATGGACTGTGGATGGACTTGGGGGTAGGACATCGAGACTTGTTCTCCTAGTTCGGTATCCGAACTCCTTACTTCGTCGAAGTCGTGGTTGTCCTTCTGTCTGGCCGACACCGCGATGAGGGCCCACTACCTCAGGGTCCCTAGCTCCTCATCGATCGTTACGGGCAAAGTAAGGCACGGTGGTGACTGGTCGCTGGCAGCTATCGTGCTTTCTTGATCTTTTGGAGACATTGCAGCCACGATGGTCGGGACTGTGTTCAAGAGATCGTCACCCGCCCATTTCGGTCCTCAGCTTTCTACTCTGCCGCAAACTTAACATTTTTAATCAGCTAATACTAGCAATGGAAAGGCGCAAACGACCTGAGAGGCGTGAATATACAGGATTGTCCTAGTGCATCCGAACCCGCGCCCGAGCGTATATTACATGGCAAAGACTTTGTAGTCTTTGGACTTCTCCAAAGGTCAGGCGACCAGATAGCAGATCAACGGTGGAGAATATTATTGCTTCTTCTGATCATTATATACTAAACCATCCTATCAACAGGAATTGCATATACATGTCACAATACTTGGGGATTGCGGAGAAGCTGAAATTCACGGAGCTCAGGCGACCAGACAGCGGAAGGCTGCAGAGTTCCCCATCCACTGGTGTGCCCGCATCCTTCAGCATGTAACTTCGCGTCCTCGTCAACATTCCCTACCGCAGCCAAGTGCGGCCACGCCACGCACACGACCAAGGTCTCCTGGACCCATTTCATGGCTTCATCCGTCGCACCCTGCGCAAGCGAACCTGCAGCTCCTGAGCTCAGTTTCTCTCTGAGCTCATCTCGGGTCAGCCGGGACGGGAAAAGCGCAAGGTGTCCCGTCTTCTCAGTCATTGACGCGCATAGCGAGCGCAGGGCGTATCCATCTCCGTGCTTGGATCGAAGGAGTGCTAGATGCCTGCCCACGAGATACCAGCCGTTGGGCTCCTCGTCTGCTTCGTCTGAATCTTCACAGTCCACGCTCCCACTGAAATCTGCCCCTTGGTCTACAATGATGTGTTCCAGGGCGGTTGCCCTGGCGGCCAAGATATCGAGCAGTTGTTCTAATCCAGGCGCTGTATGGGTAAGGTCGAGCACGCGGAGTCGCGGCGCCAATGATGGGTTGCAGAAATCGCTCTGAATGGAAGTTTGAAGTGAATTAAATAACGGATAGCCCATGGATGGCATGGATATTCTCAAAATTTCGAGCATCTCCGAGTAACGCTCCACAATCGCGTGTAAAGCTGAGAAGAAGTCGGCCATGGTATTGCTTCGTTGTTCTTCGGTAATCAGAGGATAGCCTTTCCCCTCGTGGTCTCTTCGAGCTGTTACGGACCACTGCACGGAGATCGACCGCAGGTTGTCAAGTTCGGCCGAATTGAGTGCATGGAGACAGTGAACCGGCAAAGGGAAGTCAGGAAGGATATGTTCGAAGTGCGTTAGGGAGCTCCTGCATCTCTCGAGGATGCTTTGAAGCGCCTCGGATAAATCATGCAAGTATTCATTCAAGGGCGTCTGGTGCAGCGTAAGAGCTTCAGACAGCCGCAGTGCGGGACCCAGCACCGCTTGCGAAGTGCGTACTTCCCGGAACGAGGCTTCAATGTCCGCCAATACTGGCTCTTCGTTGGAGATATGGACGATAAGTCCCTCTGGCGGGTAAGGAAGTCCTGTGCGAGCCAACGTCTGTGCGGATTGTAAAGAATCTATGCTTATAAGGGCCATCGGCGACTACACCGAGGTGCGTGGAAGTTAATTCGGCGGGTCAAGCCGGGAAGCCACCTAGAAGACCTACCAGCAATCCGAGTCGTACACAGGTGAAGCTGAATGGCTTTCAATGATCGAAGCAGGAGCCTGCGGTTTTGCGGTGAGTTCATTTATAGCGAGATTCCACAAGTAGTTGGCATCATGGATCAGGTTTGCTATGATGCTTATTTATATCAACGTTTCAGAATGTTGCGATGGGCCTGCATGCCGGGGCGTAGGCCATAGCAAGTTACAAAAATGAATGTTGATCATGTTCATCGGATGAAACCATGACACAAATCCGCGAGTACGCCGTCGAATGTGGCTTCCGGTATAATCCCCATGCCATTGGGCTGTTGACAGTCGAGGCCGTCGTAAAGGTACGGCGCAATCGCTGAGCGCTGATGGAGCAAAGGGCAGCTGATCGGGTTGTCTCAAACAGACAATTTTGGGCCTCGCTATTTTCCAGGGCCCTCAGAGAGGGTTCGACTTCCAAGCAGCGATATTTTTCTGAGCGGATATGCCGTGAGCCTTACTCATCGGCCTGTCGGGGCTTTGTGTCCATGGGTTTAGCTCTTGAAAACCTCCATTGGAGGCTTCGAGTCAATCATATCACGTCCGTGGCTATCACTCGAGTCCAGTACGGAGGGATGATGCACATACAATTCCTGAAACACATGTCGCTGACCCGAACCTGTCATGAGTGATGCTTATTCCCAGATACCTGGAGTGCGAGATTTAAAGGCGGCCTCCCAGATGCAATGACTCTCCGTGGCCCGGACCATCCTAATCTACTTCACCTCCTCTCCTCCGCCGGTCGGAATTTTTCTTCGTATTTTCCTGAGAATGCAGTTACTGCTCGGTCTTTTATTCGCCACGGTCCTTCCCGTATTTTCTGCACCTACCTACAGAAGAGCTGCGACTGGGCTCAACATTCTTACGAAGCCGACTGGTTCGAATGCCGATCCTAATTCATTCGAGTCCCAGTTTGGCTGCACGCCGGACCAAGTCACTGCCATCAACAACGGCGTCAATGATGCTCTGTCCATGACTCAAGCTGCCATCACAGCCCTTTCTAACCCTCAAGTAACGAAAGACCCCAAGTTCATGTACTCGCAATTCCTTGGCAGTAAGCGGCATCCCAATATCAACTGACCGACTCTCTGAAATCGTGATCCAGCTGCGGCTCCGGCCGACGTCCTGTCCAAGCAGGTGCAACCACTATCCGGAAAGTTCAGTCAGGCGCCTGCGCTCATCACTACCATGAACGGTGTCCCGGATACGGATGTCACCTTTATATGTGGGCCGCAAAAAGTGCAGCCGGACTCGAAACAGCCCGCAGTCGCAAGGTGCGTCTTGTCATTGGCAGCAACCCCTGCGCTTCCTATGATCAATAACCTCTATCAGTACGCGTAATAAGGGCGTTACCACCGTATCACCAACCGACCCTATCCAGTTGGATGCGAACCTCATTATTCTCCGCCCGCAATATTTCGCGGCCTCGAGTCTGGCTGCTGCGAAAGCAGCGCTTAACAGCCCAGACCCGAAGGTTATGGGTGCTCTTGGATCCGTGCAAGGTGTGAGAGCTCATAGGCCTGTTTTACCATTTATTGATGATGGCCGTTCAGGTATGACGCTCGTTCACGAGGTGCAACATTCTATTCCTATAGTAGGCGGTAAGCATGTTCAACTGTGCGGTCGAGTTTGAACACTAAGCCATGCACTCTGTAGGCGCCAGGCTGCGTGACCTGAAAGCCGTCGACCCTAGGACGAAGAAAGAGGTCCGGATGTATAATTTGAGGCAGTATGTTCCTCCAGTTGTCCGATCTTCCGTAGCACTGTCCGATCCTATCCTCTAGATGTACTCAGGTGTTATCTCCTGCTCAGAAGGCTTCCAATGCGCAGAATATTGCATGGTTTGCTCTCATTGCCGCATCAGGTTTCCCGGACCTTTTCAATACGTGTCCCGCCCCATCCAGCGGAAAGACAGCCCCACGCCCCAGATCCATCTGGGAACGTGTATGGGAGACCCTCAGGAAGAGAGCGTTCTCGCTGCCTCTGAGCAAGCAGAAATCTGCACCGGGGAAGACACCAGTCAAGACGTCTCCGGCGAAGACGACGTTAAAAACGTCAGCCTTGAAAACAACAGTGAAAACGAGTTCATCGGAGTGACGGGTGGCCTTCGCGATCGGGTCGATATCCAATATAGTTGTAGTTGCACCGTGGTATCGTGCAGTCATTCTTCCTGACTGGTCTGAGAACCTACCGGGAGGTTCGCGGACCAATTAGGAATCATAACATACAACAGAGTCTGAGGTCCAGAACAGGTACCGATTCGCCGTTCTGGGCCTTCTTTGGCACGGTGGCGCTTAGCTACGGGCCCAGGGAACGCATGATGCTAGCCCACTTTCAGGCATCTTGTTCGGGGGCGATCAGCTGCACCAGTGGGGCACGAAGGAGGTAAGCCGACTTCGAAACATACTATTGCACTTTCCGGTCGCCAAGACGGCAAGTTAGCAGAAACCAAGCTTCCAGGTTCGGTGACAGAATGCGATAGAGCGCAGAAGACAGTTATGTGGCGACAATCGACCAGCCATAGAAGGGCTACATTGCAACTTATGCGCTAAAGGCAGACGTCACTCCAGGCTCTCCCTAGTACATGTAAGCGAGCAGCCCGAAGCTGAGTCCAGCAACTGTCGCGTGGGAGTAGACCGGGTCGGGTGGTGTCCTTGGGCCATGGCCACAGTTAAGGTCGAACTCAAGAGCACGCGACACACGGCCGCCATACGATCTCTGCACGCGGTACCTCTGGATTGGCTGCTGTCCTCTCCTGTGATTCGCAATGCCAAATAAGTTTCAGGCCGCACCGACGAGCAAAGGGGTAGGGTGGCAGCAGAGGACAGCAATCTTCTTGGCCACACAACTGAGCTTCCAGAAGCATTTCATGTCTGGTTCTCTAGAGATTCCTGCGTCCATGAAATCTTGCTCAATCTCGCACCAGAGATACGACGAGCGCGCAGGCGTGCGGATCGATTCTCGAACCGCGGAGGTCACCAAAGGAAACCATTCGTCTATGACAAGGAGTTAGAAACGCAGTCATTCCAGTGAATCGTGCTTGCATGCGGATCCATGAGCTGGAGCCCGACTACGGAGCTAAATGAAAAATGCAAACTTGTTTGGGCTCTGAACGCCGAGTCCCCAGCGGCAACCTCCATTCGGTGTGCGAACTAACCGCCATAAGTAAATTGCTTCCGACTTTCCGACTGCCGCGCGCGACCATCACGAGCACGCTGACGTCGACATATTCGACGTAGAGACGAGTTATGGTCGGCCTGCAAGCTTCAGTCATGGAGCTACCCAGGTGCAAGATGGGAATCTCACTTCCTTAGCCCAGGATCCGGGTAGCATTGCTCGGACAAGGAACAGTGTATATGAAAGCAGCAAGTTTGAGCAATCTAATCTCGGAGTCTGCAATCCGAGAAGCGCAGCTGACGCGAGTTCCTTGATATCGGGTAACATCCTCCAATGCCAACCGCGTCTATGTAACCTCGTCATATATGTGGTGCCTCTTCGCGATCCTTGTGCCGGATTCGGAGGAGGACCCTGCGACGAAGCACAGTAATCGCTTAGATGCGGACCAGGCCCGACATAAATTGGGGGAGTCGAGTTCTGAGAGCGTTCTTTAATTTCCTCCTACTTCCTTCCACCCATCATGATCAAGGCAGCCACCATGTACAACGGGCATCGGCTTCATGGCCATACCAACGGCCATACCAACGGTTCTAGCAGTGCCAATGGCAATGGAGTCGGTCTATTGCACCAGAACGGCCGAGCCAACGGCCACGCGAATGGCCACGAAGCGTCCGGGAAAGCAAACGCAAAGGGCCACGACAAGGCGAACGGGGTACAGAACGGTCACTCGAATGGCACCACTAGTGGGTCGCTGAGAAACAAGACGACCGGCACTCTGAAGCGTCAAGCCAGCGGGGCGTTGAATGCGAAGACGAGCGGTACCTTCCCGGCCAAATCAAGCGATTCACCCAAATCCGAAACAAATGGTACTATAAAGGCGAAGACAAGCGGTACGCTAAGGAACAAGTCTAGTGGTCCTCTGCGACCTGGCTGGAACGCGAACCCGAACGGAACTCTCAGGAAACAAGCAAGCGGAACTCTGGGGGCCAGAAAGAGCGGCACCCTCAAGACTCTCACCAGTGGCCCACCGAACGATACGCCGCCTGCAAAGCAGGAGGAGGTATTTAAATTCAGCTCTGTATCTTTCACGGATAATTTGTAAGTCTCCACTACGTCTGACATGAACTCACGGGTAACCCGCCGCCAGCCAACATATCGTCAATGGCCAGAAGACGACGTCCGACAGATATCGCACAGTCCTCAATCCCGCCAACAAGCAAGCCCTTGCCTCAGTGCCCGTCGCCAGTCGTGAGCAGCTGGACGTTGCTCTGGACGCTGCCTCAGACGCCTTCCCCTCATGGGCGGCGACGCCCGTCGAACAGAGGCAGGCAGCCGTGCGGCGCCTCGGCCAGATGCTTCGGCAGTTCATGCAGGATTTCAAAGAGCTCCTTACTAAGGAACAAGGGAAGCCCATCGAGACGCACTCGTGAGTGCTCTTTGATGCTAATCTTAGCTCTTGCTTCACGTCGTTTGACCCTGTGGGTCCGCGTGTTACCTACAGAGGCTGGGAGCTCGCTGGGGCAGAAGCGTGGTGCCATGCGGTGTCGACAATGTCGTTGCCGGAAGAGACAGTGCTAGACGACTCAGAGAGAGTAGCGGTGGCACGTCACGTCCCCCTTGGAGTTGTGCGTACCTCGTCTGTTGAGACTTCAGACCCTCGCCATACTTAGCCGCCTGTACCATATAGGTGGCAGCGATCATCCCGTGGAAGTAAGGTTTATGGACTCTGTTACTGAATAGTGCTAAACCCTTGTGTCGTAGCTTCCCGGTCCTGCTTCTCATCTGGAAGGTGTGTTCATTACCGATCTGCCGGGTACGCTTCCCAACTGTCAGGTGTCGTCTTTCAGGTCGCCCCAGCGCTTGTGGCTGGCAATACGGTCATCGTCAAGCCCTCGCCATATACGCCCTTGTGCGCTCTGAAGTTTGTTGAACTTGCTCAGCAAGTTCTGCCGCCTGGGGTGCTTTCTGTGCTGAATGGGGATGACGACATGTGAGTATGACTCAGCGGTGGATATTATCGAGGTTCGCTGAAGTGAGAGACGGCCACGTGCAGGGGTCCGTGGCTCACAAGCCATCCGAAGATAGCGAAGATCGCCTTTACGGGGTCGACCGCGACAGGCAAGCTCGTGCTACAGAGCGCAGTTGGGAGTTTGAAACGAGTTACCATGGAACTGGGCGGTAATGATCCTGCGATAGTCCTCCAGGATGTGCGCCCGAAAGCAGTGGCCATGTAAGTGCTGTGATACTACCCATTCTTCCCAAGTACTGCATCTGAACGACGATACCAGGGATCTCTTTAAGTGCATGTTTAATAACGCCGGTCAGCTATGTGCGGTCAGTCAGCCAGTTACGTCGTACTGGTGACAGGTGCTTACATGGGTGCGACGTAGGCTGCGAAGCGGGTCTATATCCACGAGCAGATCTATGACGAGGTTCGAGACGAACTAGTGTCAATCGCCCTAACAGCCAAAGTCGGGGACGGACTAGATCCCGCCACCGCTTTGGGGCCCATCCAGAATCCCATGCAGTACGAGAAAGTCAAGTGCGTTACCGGCGAGTTCGACCAGAGTGCCCATGCAAAGCTGACATAACGCAGGGAGTTTATTGCGGACTGCAAAGCCAACGGCTACACGTTTGCCGTAGGCGGGGAGATCGACCCGAACAGTCCAGGCTATTTCATCCCCATCACCATCATAGACAATCCACCGGATGATTCGAGGATAGTCCGAGAAGAACGTGAGTGCATTGTCCCGGCCGACTCCACGCATTCATTAGACCATATGCGACCTCCACAGCCTTTGGACCGATTATTCCCATTATGAAGTGGAGCGACGAGGAGGAGGTAATCCGGCGGGCCAGTAAGCATCACTCCGCATATCATGCAGGACCCGAACTGACTCGCCGTATCTGCAGACGATACTGAATACGGCTTAGCAGCGACCATCTGGACTAACGATATGGAAAAGGCTAACCGAATCAGTCAACGCCTCGACGTTGGGACAGGTACGTATGCCGCCGGGCTCTTGTGCGCCTTATGGTATCTCTAAAGTCGCCCAGTCTGGGTAAATGACTTCCCTTACATCCATCCGTCCGCGCCTTTCGCGGGACACAAAGTGAGTGATTTCCTGCGGTGCCTCCAGCTCAGCTCCAATCACCATTTTCACCTTTACCTCAGATGTCCGGCTTCGGCGTCGAGAACGGCAAGCTCGGTTTGCAGGAGTACACCTCGACACACGTCACGTACCGGAGCAAGGTTGTCAAGTATTGAATGGAAGATCTAATGGATTTGCACAAATCTCAGCTAGCCGATTATACCTAATACTAATTCTTAGTTTATGAATATTGATTCACTTGTACAAGTAGCGTACCTACTGCTTCCGTAAATCTTCTTGTTCGAGCCACATGAGACTAGCGGGAGGGTGCACAGACAAGAAAACAAAAAAACGACGATATAGCGACAGCGTGCAGTCTAAATCACACATCTTGATCCTCGAGTCGCGCGACTTGCCTGAAAATCGACGTCAGCGAGAGTTACCGAGCGGCTATCAGTGCACCGACCTATCCCGGATGGCCTCCTGCCACCTCTGGAGCTTAGCAATCTCGTTCACCTGGAAGCCGAAAATCTTCGGTCGATACCTGTCGGCCTTGAGCGCGGCGGCGGCTGTGCTGACGCCTTCCCCGACTCCCTCTGCCACACTGCCCTCGAGCTCGTCCCGTGCTCTCCGACCAGCGACCCTGCGCCCATCGCTCTCGCGCGACACGGAAGGCCCGGCCGTCATGTCAGGGGGACCACTCTTTGGCGGAATAAGGTGCGGGTATACAAGGAACAGAAGGTGCGGGAAGGAGGTACCAAAGTAGGCGCCGTCGATGGAGCCGTGGCGCGAAGATTTGGGGGAGTAAAGATCTTCGCAGCGAGCACAGTAGAGTTTGACGGACTTTTCGTATGGAATGTCTGTCAGGCCCACGGGGAGGAGCGGCTGGGATTGGCATAGGACTCGTGGGCATCGGCCGAAATCTGCTTTCTTGTATTTTTCGAGCTGGACGGATGTCAGCCTCACACACGGACACTACAGGGAGTGGCATCTACCATTTTCGCCAGTCCACGCGCAGTGACAATCCACCTTGCGTGGATCAGCCCGTACAGGAGGCGTGCCTGCACGTCCAGCGATCCACGAAGCTCGTCCTGAATGTCATCGTCTGACTCTAACCGTCAAGCTTCCTTGAGCGAGACAGTAAAGCTGAAAGGACTCACCCAGGTTGTCTGTGATCAAGTCCAGAGCTTGTGAGTAGTTCGTGACCTCGGTATTCAGTCCCGTAAGATTGAATCGGTCGAGAATGTAGTCCTCTTCGACTTCACAGAAGTATTCATTGCCTTTCGATGACAAGAACCATGATATCCACTGCAACTGCATGTTAGAGAGAAGAATATGAGAAACCGTTGGTATCCGCGTACCGTACTAAGCTAGGTTTGAGCATCTCCTTTCAGAATACGGAGGGATCTAAACGCACTTGGAATAATCCGAATCCGACCCCGTCGATAATTCCTCCACTGCACGTCGAAGCATCGTAGTCAGTCAAACACCAGCAACGACGCCTAGGTCGACCAGGCAGAAACTGACTCTAGTTTAACGTGTAAGCCGACGGTGCGCGATACAGGAGATTTGGCAGGGCGCTGCCATGCGGCTGCGAAGTCGCCACAGGGGATGTGACGTGACACATAACGGGACCGTCACGCGTTTAATGGGTGGCAACTTAAAGCAGGCTACTGCTCAGCGTACCATACTACCACTCTACACGTAAACTTGGAGGCCTTTTCCTTGTTTATAGCGTTACTTCGGCGACTAGAGCGAATCTATTGACGGTATTCAGCCTTCAGCCTGCCAGATGTGGTAGAATTCTCTGTAATGTCAGGAGAAGTCGCACTGCAAATGCCTACGGATCTGCGTTCAGTCTCAGCTCTTGAAGTGGATTCAGCCGAGTCTCCAAGGAAGCCAAAGGGTGTAATACGTCTAACGGTTGACGTCCCTGCGTCAGCAAGCAGAGGCGTGTCAGGAAGGAAGAGACCAGCTGCCCGGTGGAGAACTCCTGAATTTATTCTCTATGAAGTTCTTTTCGTAATTGTCGTACCGATTCTCGTCTGGGTGCCCGTAAAGTTGAGTTCTGGTGTGTATGAGTAGCCCACTTCACCCGTGGAGCATGTATTTACTTGCTATATGGTGTAGTGAATCACCCAAATTACCCCCTATACAGTCACCGGTTATCTCAGGGATGGCTGTCTGGTCGGCAAGTCGTAAGTGTCCCCTTGCATTATGTCCGTACCGTTGCATCTTACCAAAAGACTTTTCCATGTAGGACAACAGCGATGCCCAGTATCGATCATTTCGTAACAACATACCCTCCCTTGGCCTATTGATAGCCGCCTTCTTTGGATTTAAAGCTGTATACGTGTTTTTCGCCAATTACTCGTCTCTCCTCAACGGCTGGCAGGTTCACGCGCGTCGGATATTCTTCCTATCGACCTTCTCTGTGCTGATGCTCATGGGACTACACGGTTCCAGCGCTATCAAGGTCTTACTTATCATAACCCTCAATTATTGGATAGCCAAGTCGTTTAGAGGATCAAAATTAACACCCTTACTGACTTGGGTATTCAATACTATCATCCTATTTGCGAATGAAAGGAACGAAGGATATAAGTTCGCCGTCTTGCATCCGTCTCTTGAATTTCTCGTACGTCGTGGCTATGTCCTTATCCTTAACGGGGATCACATGATTTTCGCAGGACGACATTGGCGGTGCATACCCTCGGTGGCACGTCAGCTTCAATATCACGATGTTGAGGCTCGTCTCCTTCAACATGGATTACTTCTGGGCATGCAACGGAACCGGTGCAGCTGACGTCAGTCTGTCTATGCAGTATAGATTTATTTCCCAGATCCTAATATGTTCTTTCCTGTCCATTCTCAACCGAAGACAGGATCTACACTTGATCACAAGAAGCGTACAACCACGCCACACCCGCAGGTATTCTACGGTTACATAAACTATTTGGCCTATGTGCTATATCCGCCGCTGTACATAGCAGGCCCTATCATGACGTTTAACGATTTTATGTGGCAGGTCTGTTGTATTTCTTGCGTCTTCTGTCACGCCCAATGCTAAGTGGTTAACATCCAGCTCCAACGACCTGTCGCTATTTCAGTCCGTTCAGTCGTCAATTATGCATTCCGCTTCCTCGCGTGCCTCCTCACCATGGAATTCATACTCCACTTCATGTACGTCGTCGCCATCAAAGACAGCCATGCGTGGCAAGGCGACTCGCCCTTCGAGCTAAGCATGATCGGCTTCTGGAACCTCCTCATAGTCTGGTTGAAGGTCGTTACAATTCTTCCTGTTTCCAGGCCGTGTGCGCTGATATCATGGAGTGTAGCTGCTGCTGCCATGGCGCCTCTTCCGCCTGTGGGCTCTCATGGACGGTATAGACCCTCCAGAGAACATGGTGCGGTGCATGGCCAACAACTACTCGCCACTGGGCTTCTGGAGAGCTTGGCACCGTAGCTATAACCTGTGGATTGTCAGGTACGTCTTGTCTGTCATTTCTGCTGAAATTGTGGCCACACGATATTATCATCAGATATATCTACATCCCCCTCGGAGGTACGAAGAATGTAGCATTCACAAGCGTGTTAATCTTCTCTTTCGTGGCGTTGTGGCACGACCTCTCATTCCGGCTCTTAACGTGGGGATGGCTTGTCAGCCTTTTCATTCTCCCCGAGCTGCTCGCTCGCTATCTGTTTCCCGCCTCTCAGGTGAGTAACTTCCTCCGAGAGTGTGGATTGGTAACATACCTATCCACCTACGTAGTGCTCGGATAAGCCTTGGTATCGACACCTGTGCGCTGTCGGGGCCGTATTCAACATCCTCATGATGATGACCGCTAATCTCGTTGGCTTTGTCATCGGGACAGACGGATTGTCTTATCTTCTCTCGCAGTTGATTGGAACTTGGGAAGGTAAGCGTGCTATCTCGCCGACGGAGTTGTGATTGACTCGCTGTTCAAAGGTCTCCGCTTTTTCGGAGTTGCGTGCGTTTGTCTCTTCATTGCAGCACAAGTCATGTTCGAGTATCGGTATGTAGTTCTCATCTCAGGTTACAGGAATTATGCTGAAAGGAGTAGCGAGGAGGAAATGCGCCAAGGCATATACCGCAGATGTTGAACATCGATGACTATCCAATCTGTGGGACGAGCCAGACATTCATGTCTTGCGCTGATTGATTGGAAGCGGCGGCGGCAGAAACCTGCCATAGGAATCTCGCAAATTTATCCAGAAGGATAACAGCAAACTAGCGATTACATGGGAAGATAGCGCGTATACATAATTATATACCATAACAGGACGGAGAGCGACTGTGATAAATACGATGGAAGAGAAGGAGAGTGATATCGCCTGGCGCGGAAGTGGTCTCGAAATTCATGGATCAGTTACTAACGTTACCATTGGACAACTGGGAAGCGTTCAGTTCGCGGGCCCTTTCCTTTGCACGTTCTCGAAGGACGCCCCATTCAACCCACCAATTGTCGGCTTCGTCCTCGGCGTTGTAGCCCCACAGCTCCTTGATCTCCTCCCACTGCTCGCTATTGCTATCGCCTCCGCTGCTATTGCCCAGAACGTTCAGCCCGGCCTCATGCTTCTCCCTCATACTTCGGTCACGAGCTTCCTGCATGGGGCATGGAGGCATGGCCATGAACATAAGGTTTCCCATTTCTTGCTTCAGGACGCCAGAGCAGCGATTCTGCCTGAGATCTTGGAATGCGTATAGGAAGTTGGGAATCTGATCTTCACTTTTTAGATGCGAGAACAGTTTGGCTAGGACTGCCGCATCTTCTAACCCCATTGCGCTCCCTTGGATGGAACCCGGCTGCAGGTGGTGAGTACGTGGATGTCCGTAAATGAGATTGTCATTTAGCGGGACTTACAGGTAGCGTATGCGCGGCCTCGCCTATGAGGAGGAGTCTTCCATCGTTATGGACCCAGTCTTCGAGTTCGCCTTGTTCGATCACTCGCAACCTCGCGGGGGCCGCTGCTAAGGTGGCCAGTTTTTGCAATCTTTGTCAGGGAAACAATCAGAACTAGGCCATTCCGCTCCGAGATATCTGAGACACTGCTACCTTTTCTCACTGGTCCTCATCACTTCACGTAGGCGGCTTATTGGTACCGAGTCTTCCCATGATCCGTCTCCTTCCCCGTCATCCGGTGCGTATATATTCATGGCAAAATCTTCCTGTCCGCCCTTATTGAGCGGTACCTTTAGTAGGTTGCATGTGCTCGCATGAATAATCACGCTTACGACGGGATAAAGAAGCACTGAATGACCATCACCAAACCACACGAATTGAGTATGCTGATCACCATGTTGAGCTACGATGGCCGCGTACAAGAGATTGGCTGAACCTACGTGTTCTTGCTCCACGAAATATCTTAATTCAGGGTCATTTCGAATTTTGTCACCAGGGACCACAGTGCTGACGGAAGTTCAGTGTGGCCCATGCGCGGCAGAAGGCGAGAAGAGCTCACTTGTAGAAAGCGTGGCGGGCGGGCCCGTTCAAGGATTGGCCACCAGCAAGCAACTCTCGTGATATACCAGAAGGTCCGTCCGCGCCAATGATCACGTCGCCAGAAATCACCTCGGTGGATGCCAGAGTGACGGTTCTGTTTGTTGGGTCAATCGACACCACTTGTGCTCGATCTCGAATTTGTGCTCCAGCGCGTTCGGCGGCCTCGCGTAGCATGCTACGCAGATCTGCATGCTGGCCAACGCTCGTCAAACTTGTTTTACCTCGGAAGGTAGAAGACGTACTTACGTGGCAAAACACAAATTCACCGCCCGCCTCTTTCAACACCTCTTGGTCCCACACATGCGTTCCTAACAGAAATCCGGTCTCGTCTGAAACACAATGAGCGCTGTGGTGACATCAGGAGTGGAGAAGACATACATATCGAGAGGAAAGTCGCGCCAGACACCACTGAGATATCCCGTAGCTGTGGTTCAAAGCCCCAATACTTGAGGATCTTCGACATATTGGGCGGCAGCCTGCAGCCGCCCGCGACCTTTACCTCCAAGAGATGTCATGAGCGGGTATAATGCGAAGCCAAGGACGATGTAACACACCTGGTCAGTACCGTCATCTTTCTCCAGGACCAGTACACGATGACCTATTCGCCGCAGCGCCAGCGCACACGCGAGTCCTGCGATTCCGCCTCCAATTATGATGAAGTCGATCGTCAGTCGGGGAACAGCCTGTATTGAAGCCTGCTCGCGCCCGTCAGATGAAAGCTGACCAGTGCGGGACGCCAGCACTCACTCGCACGGCCATAGTTAGCAAGAAACGAGGACTTTCAACGTCGCCCGACGGGGGAAGTGGTGGAGGTAGGTGTGGAATTGAGAAGGCACCGGTAATTTAGAGTGACGAGCTTCTTTCATTACAGAGACTTTCCCGCAGAGCAGGGTCGCCTCTTGCCAATTACTGACTGGTCGCCGTTAGACTTCCTTACGTGGTGAGATCAAACCGAAAATCGCCCAAGCGAAATTCACCGTCATCCTCTCGTCGCTTGGGGGTCAGACGCCGGCACAAATACCTTCTTTGACAACTTCACGTGGGCCAATAGGCGGGATCTAGAATTGGCGCTTTTGCCGAGATCTAATCTGTGGCAAGCTGCATCTCGCGAAATAGGCTCATAGCTCACAGAATGAATTTGCCGAAGCAGCGAGATTCTATGTGATCTCGCAGTGCGCTGCGATTGCCAGGCAGAAGGCTGGAGCGCCACAGATGCACTTGCCACACGAGACGGCAAGTTGAACGGAAGCATCTGGGGGGGATCTTGACGTTTGTGAAAAATCATTTTCGGCTAAGCGAGACTTGGCTTACACGGAGAGAGGAGTTCAGCGCCAATTGGTCCTTGGAGAGCCTATGGGAGGGCGTGATCATACACTAGCCTTTTATCTAGACCCTCTCTAGCCTCGGAGTGCGCGATACTCAGCCATTGCTAGGACCTGGCAGCCAGAGTTTCGCTCATGGGTGAGGACCCTTCATAGTTGCTTACCACCAACATTATTAATTCCACTGTTTATGGCGGCTGTTTGGATGCTAGTAAAGTAGATGACTCAACGCCGTCCGTTCGACGATCGTATACAATAAATATCGCCAGCCTAGGGAACCTCCGAGCTCCCAGCACGGCATGAATAGTAAATCAGACAAGGGCTCTCATTCCGGGTATACAGCATTATTACAACGCGATGGGTTTGTACCTATACTGGGAAAGCCAGTCACCGGACGGAGCCGTCGTGGCCGATAAGCGCGAGCTACTGATGATAAGGAGTCCCAGAATGGGCCAGAAAGTGAGCGGAAGTCTTAGATCGAGTGACCTTTGGCTTTACCGGAGGCCTTGGTCGACTCGAATATACGCAGGTGCCAATACGACGCTATCCAGCGTGCCCGATGGCTAGGTTAGTACCACGTCCTTTCCCCATACACTGATGTGTCTCAAACACGAGCTCATAGAGGGCACGTCGGATTTTAACCAGCCGCAGAATACTGTGCACCGACTGCCGGCTGACTCTACTATTTGCCACCTGTATGGTGAGGACCCTCTCGGCGTGCCAATTCGAGGCCATTATCCAGGGAGAAGTTCCTGTATTCAACCGCCGAGTATCGGCGTGCATCACAGGTAGCACTGGTCGGGGACTGCAGTGTACCTGAGTCAAGAAGGCCAGGACGTGACAAAACGGGTAAGCGTCCAGGGCAATCATTCTGGGTTGGTAGTCCATGAAGGTCCCCGTTTAGATGCTGCCGGCGTACATGCACCCTCAAATTGCAACGTCAATGAGGATGCTGAATATTATTGCCGGCTCGGATCCCACCAGTTACGGTTACAGTCTACCAGTGTGCCAGAGGAACGCGCCCGAGGCGGGTCTTCCGGCAAGTATCCCGAGATGCCCAAGAAGACCGAGCATGAAGGCTGCACGGACCGCGGCCGTCTGAAACAAGAGGTTGAATTCGCAAGGTTAGCAGTCGTGACTAAAGGAAGTTTGTCTTGGAGAATCTCCTAGGCAAGGATATCGATATCTAGCAAGGATATCCGTACATCAAGTTGCCTAGGATGAGACGTAGCAGAGGTGTTCATAGACGTTCACCTCCATAGTACACGACGTGTCGCAGGACGTCGTCGGTTCGTAGCTTCCCTAATGATCCGACATACCCAGGCGTAACCCAAGGGCTTCGTGATGTGATCCGCGGTCAGGATATGCTTCTCAGTAATGGAGGGATTCCGTAAAGGTGGCTGCAAGGACTGGCGGAATTGCCGGAGTCGCCGTAGCCGCACAGAATGCTGTCATCGTGGTAGAAAGTCAGCTCTGCAATTATTTATTTTTCTCGGCGAACAAAAAGAATACGCACTTAACGATGGAAGTTCTGCCAGCTTTTCAAGTCGCCACAACTTGAGACTTGAGTCGGATCGTACAGTCAGAATTTGGTGGGTGCGTCTGATTTCTCATCGAGCAAGCAGCTCAGCCTTGACACTCCTCTTCGACTCGTAAGTCAGAACGGCGTGAATGACTACAGGCTACCGAACACAGCGAAGAGCCACTCGAAAATCTTTTCGCCTTTCTATGCCCGCCACCGCGGCCACGTGCTTCGCGATCCCGCTCAGTACCCGGTGAACGCTTGGGGAGGAAAAACCAGCCATGGCCAAGATGTCTGATTCATCCCCTCAAAACTTGGCCAGACGTTCTGGTCTATCCGCCCTCATCAAGCCGCGATGTCCTCAGGATCCTCGCTAACCGCGCAGCTACATGCCGCCCTAAAATCCCGCGACGAGCGTAACATCCGGCGCACACTTCCAAACCCGTCCCCATCCCGCGTCCCTAACCTCGTCGACTTCTCCTCGAACGACTACCTTTCTCTCAGCATTCACCCTCCCCTGCGAGCGCGCTTCCTCGACAAGCTCCAAAATGCACCCCAAATCCTTGGGTCAGGCGGCTCGCGCCTGCTCGTGAACGGGCAGGCACACACTGCCCTCGAAAGCCGCCTGGAGCGGTTCTTCAACGCGCCCAGTGCGCTCCTGTTCAACTCAGGCTTCGACGCGAACGTCGGGTTCTTCTCCACCGTCCCGCAGCACGGGGATGCGGTGGTTACGGATGAAGCGATCCACGCGTCGGTGCACGACGGGATCCGTGCCTCACGCGTCGGGAAAAGCGGGCATCGTACATTCTCTCACAACGATCTACCATCTCTAGAGACTCTGCTACAACAACTCCTGGCGGATAACCTGACTCTCAAGGATGGGCGGAATAGCGTGTTCGTCGCGGTGGAGAGCCTATACAGCATGGACGGCACATTCGCGCCTCTACCAGATATCGTAAGGTTATTGGAGAGCTTGTTCCCAGCGCGGAACGCGTACCTCGTTGTAGACGAGGCGCACGCGACGGGTATCTATGGACCGCAAGGGCGCGGGCTGGTCGCGCACTACGGACTCGAGGACAGGGTCCTCGCCAGGCTGCACACGTTCGGGAAGGCGTTGGCGGGCACGGGCGGTGCGTCGTCTTAAGCAGCTCTAGATCTTCAAGCACGCTCAGGCCCCGCGCAGCTGTGATCCTAACGACGCCGTTGATACGTGATTACTTGCTCAACTACGCGCGCACGCTGATATACACCACTGCGCTCAGCTACCCGAATATCATCGCCGTCGAGTGCGCCTTCGACATGCTCGAGAACCGCGAAGCGGAAAAGGTATCTACAATCCTCCCCCTCCCCCTTCTCTTTTCTCTTCCCGCTCAGACACCCACAGCTCGCAACCCACCTCCTACACCTCTCCACGTTATTCACCGCCCTCCTCCGCCCACGCCTCGCCTGCATCCCAGCACACATCCTCTCCCTCCCGGCCTCCCTGTTCTCTCCCCCCTTGCCTTCGCCCATAATCCCGCTGATGACCTCTCGCCCGCGCCCGCTCTCCGCGTACCTCCTGCAACAAGGTATGAATGCGCGCCCGATAACGTGGCCGACGGTGCCGAAGGACGCGGACCGCGTGCGCGTGTGTTTGCGCGCCGGGATGGGGGAGGGGGAGGTGAAG